TTCCTAGAGCTTTGTTTTCACATAATTGTTCTATTAATTCTCTGTTCTTTCACTCTTTTTTTTTTTCTTTTGGTTTTTTTTTGAGGCAGGGTTTCCTCTGTATTGTTTTGGAGGCTGTGCTGGAACTAGCTCTGTAGACCAGGCTGGCCTTGAACTCACAGAGATCCACCTGCCTCTGCCTCCCAAGTGCTGGGATTAAAGGCGTGCGCCACCACAGCCCGGCTCTGTTCTTTCACTCTTGAATCTTTCCTTTTTCTTTTATTAGACAGTCACCTATAAGCCCTGGCTTGATTTATTTTCTTCTTATATTTTAAAATGTTATGACTGAGACTGGAGAGATGGGTCAGGGGTTATGAGTACATCCTGCTCTTGCAGAGGACCTGAGTTCAGTTCCCAGCACTCACAATGGGTGGCTCACAACTTCCTGCACAGGGGATTGGATGCCTCTGGCCACCATGGGCACTTGCACTCACGTTCACATATCCATACACAGACACATATACAAATCATTTTAAAAGTCTTTGAAAGTGTTACCACAGACCTAAATTTGCTCTTAAAACACAGACTACATCAGGAATGAAATCACTTCTGGTGCCTGAAATAATTGTCTTTACCTGAATCTTCCATCTGGAAAAGCATTCATCTCATAGTAGGTAATTTTTCTTTTAGGGGTGGGATTCTGTCAACTTTGAATGCATTGGAAATGCTGTGTTTTCTGGCCTTGGCAAATTATAAAACTGAAACAAGAGATGAAAACAAAAATTTTAAGCCAGCTGTGGTGGACTCATACCCTGTGTCCCATCTTTCAGGAGGCTAAGGTCAGCTTGTGTTTCATAGTGAGTTCCAGGACTGTCTCAACAAAACCAAACACCTATGACTAAAAGCAAACCAAACCACAGCAGCAACAACAACAACAAAAAAACCTATAAAACAAACAAGGGACTTTAGCTGCAATAATTAAAAGGAATATTTGTTAAGCACAGGACCTAGAACTTCAGAGTAGCGCTTTTGGTACACAGTGAGCTAAACACAGCCGAGGTAACAAAGATTATAATCACACAGCAAAGACAATCTTTGGAAAAATTAGAAGAGGTGGCTCCAATTATCACAAATATGTGACTCGAAAAAAGCAGAAAAATGGGAAACTTTGAGAGCTCTTACATGGTCGGGATGTCTGCTCACATTTTTAAGCAACTTCAAGGGAGCTGAGCAAAAAATGTCTCCCGAGTGATAAATAAGCAGCAATAATAAAGCAGCATTGGTGCTGTGACTTCACAGATATCACGTCCTCCCGCCAGTGTGACATGGTGTGACATGGATCCTGAGGGTTCTTTAGCCTTGGCATGGATTTAATGTGACTGCCTCCCGCGGCAGAGTGTGAATGTGCTCTGATCATTTCTCACTCCCCTCCCCACCCCAGGGTCAAACTAAAGCTTTCCCTTCCTTGGATAGCTTTAGCTGGCCAGAAATAATTTTTGTTTGGCTTTTGCTCTGCAACCTGAAATTTCCATTTCTCTATTTAGGAATAACACTCATTTAAAGTTAACATGAGGGAGAGGTACCTGGAACTGACTTGTGAAGCAACCTTGTTTCTAATCTAAATTTAAACTTAAAAAAAAAAGAAATGGAAGACAAAAAAAATAAAGTTAACATGAAAGCACTCTGAAAAGTTTGTATTTTCCCTCAAAGCTTACTGTTCTCATCTTCCACAATTCTCAGGAAAAATATAAATAGCTAGTAGAATTGGGAAACTAAATGAGCAAAGCACCCGTAGCTTCCCACAGCTTCCCACATCACCGTTAGCTTTAATGCATACCAGATAATCCTTTCTAGGCCCAAGAATGACCGCCTGAAGAGTTAGTAAGATGCTGGTCCATGTGTTTGAGAGTTTCACCCCCCAACCTTGGATGCTGTGTGAAATATAATCAAGGAGTGCAAGGGATTCATTCAGTACCTCCAGTGTTATCAGGATATACCAGCTGCATTATCAAAACACCTATCTATTATCTGCAGCCTGAGAAAAGTTTCCCTGGAACCAACATAAAAAGGATTTTACAAAACGCCAAAGTATTGATCAGCTCAAAGGGTACATATTCCCTCCAAAGCACTGAGCTATTCTATTGGAAACATTTTTTAAAGATTTATTTATTATTTGATGTGTGTGTATGTGTGTACACATATGTGCACGTAACAATGGAGGTCTGGAGGTTGTGTGCTACCTGACGTAGATGCTGGATGTGAGCCTAGCCTTTGAATGGTTGAGCCATCTCTCCTGCCCAATGAAGATGCTGGAAACTGAACCCAGGTCCTCTGCAAGAGAACTAAGTGTTCTTAATTGCTGAGTCACCTTTCCAGTTGTCTTAGGGTTTCTATTGCTGTGAAGAGACACCATGGCCATGGCAACTCTTATGAAGGAAAACATTTGATTGGATGGCTCGTTTACAGTGTAGAGGTGCAGTCCATTATCATGGTGGGACATGGCAGCATGCAGGCAGACATGGTGCTGGAGAAGTAGCTGAGAGTCCTACAACTTGCAAGCAACCAGAAGTGGTCTCAAATACCATGCATGGCTTGACCATATATGAGACCGAAAAGTCCGCCTCCACAGTGACACACTCCCTCCCACAGGGCCACACCTCTTAATTGTGCTACTCCCTTTGGGGGCCATTTTCTTTCAAACCACCACACGAAGCAACCTTGGGAATCTTAAAATGAGATTCCTAGGAACCTTCCAGAATATGCTGAGTCACAAGTGAACAGTGTCTGTGCCCGACTTTGATAAAGTTAGCATTTGGAGTCAAAGTCCTTTCCTATCGTCATCTTCCCCTCTGAAGCCCTCTAAAGTCTAAAGCATTTTCTCTCCTGTCTTTATTCTTCTATGTCTACCCCCATGTACACTCCACCTGTCACTTAAGAGACCATGACGCGTCCTCTGTTTCTCCCAGATCCCTGCTGCAGTTCTGCATCTGGTGATTGCTGACTTAAAGACACTCACTTGATTTTGACAGCAAAGATTTCACAGATGCTTTTTTTTAAAAACTTCAGAAAGAGGCCTCTTTGGTAGTTACTTTCTGTGGTGATATATTGTTTATTATTTATTAAAACTTGCCTGAGGATTCAGAAAGCAAAGTCAGCCACAGGCCTTAGAAACCAGGCACACACCTTTAATCCTTGGACTCAGGATTAAGAAGAGATAGACGGATCTCTGTGAGTCCAAGGCCACCCAGGGATACATTAGAGTAAATCAGTCTAAAAGAGAATTATAGCTCACACCTTTAATCGCAACATTATGGAAGTATGTAAGACAAAAGCAAAGTCTCAGAGAGGCATTCATTCTCCAGCCACACTAAGGAGAGGTTACAGTCTGAGACTTGCTGAGAGCTCATGGTGACAGGACCAGTCCATTCAGCCTGAGGTAGAGGTAAGAAGCCAGTGGCCGCGCTGGGCGTTGGTGGCGCACGCCTTTAATCCCAGCACTCGGGAGGCAGAGGCAGGCGGATCACTGTGAGTTCGAGACCAGCCTGGTCTACCAAGTGAGTTCCAGGACAGCCTCCAAAGCCACAGGGAAACCCTGTCTCGAAAAAACAAACAAACAAAAAAAAAAAAAAAAAAAAAAAAAAAAGAAGCCAGTGGCCGGCTGCTTTGCTATTCTGAACTTCAGCTTGAAGCCCAATATCAGTCTTTGGGTCTTTTCTTTATTCGTGTTACAACTTTCTCTCACCTCGTTGATTCCAATCTCCACTCTTGCAAAGCTTTAGGCTCCCCCTGAGGTCATTAGAAGCCTATTGGCAAGGCTAATCAATTTTAATCTATATGGGGTTACTCTGACTGCCACAGATGTTTGCTTTCCTTGGGGCTATCCGAACCTTTTTTGCAGGAACTCTAATTCCACTCAATGATGTCTATGTTGCACAGAGGTATTAACTAATTAAAAATGAGACATCTTGAGACACAAAGTAACCCACTCTTATGATAACAAAGACACTCACTCCTCAGGAGTTATCTGTGTTCTACTGTCTCCCATGAGAAACTAGGCTGATACCTTCTCCTGTATACTCACTTGCTCTGATTCCAACCAGTTCTTACAAAGTTCCAGATAATTCAAACTATCATCTACCAAGAAATCATGCTTAGGTAAGGAGAACCAGAAACCTTCTAAAATGTGGCAAGCACAGATAATTTGGGAGAACTCCCAGGAGGAACAATGGATTCCATTTCGTAAAGGCTGACTTGTTTATGGGACTGGACAAAATACATACAGCAAAAATTTGCAGAAGGCAGATCTCTGTGAGTTTGTGGGCACCCTGGTCTACATAATAAGTTCCAGGCCAGGCAGAGTTACATCGTGAAGCCCTGTCTCAAAAAACAAAAATCAAACATACAAAAACATTGGGAGCCATGGAGAAATAATTCTATCCTTGATAATGGGTAGGGAAAACAATATAAGTAAGGGAAGTGATAACTTCAGGCAATAAACCAACATGCTGGATGCTTTCTTCTATAAAGTGCCTTGGTCATTTCTGGAAGTTTAAGTCTGCTTAAGTACATTCGGATGGTCACAAAATAGAGAAAGTTGCTACACTTGTTAGGAGACACGTGACTCGTTTTAAGTCCCTGAATAATATGAGCAGACATCCTGACCATGTATGAACAATCAAAATTTTCATTTTCATACTTTTTTGAATCAAAGGTTTATCTGTGATAGAAACAATCTCTTTGAATTCAGATGTACTTCTAAACAGAGACTACTCTCCGCCAGACAGAGAGACATCACCTTCGTACTACGGTCCTCGGCAGAGCCCGGCAGGAGTCTGTCTTGTTTGACAAAGGGATGAAGTGCCTAGTCCCTTGTGGCTTGACACTCCGAAGGCAGCAGGGCGAGCAGCCAGGGCTGTCTGACAAACAGCGGCTCGGCGGGATGGGGGCGGGACTGCAGGCGGAATCGCAACTTACGCTTTCCGGCCTCTTGGGGGCGGAGCTTATTAGCTTTGCTTCTGCAGGTGACGCGGTCCGGGGAAGAGCCTTAAGCGGGGTGTGTGTTGCCGGCCCGACCTAAAGCGTCAGGACCACGCCGGGCGCAAGCCCCGCCCAGCTATCATAGAGCACAAGGATAAAGTCAAAGTTGCCTACCCCGGAGGCCAGTGGACTCAGTCCCTGACACCAGCACCATGCCCATGACACTGGGTTACTGGGACATCCGTGGGGTGAGCGACCACCTGACGTGTGGGAAGGATCGCGGGGCAAGGATGAGGGAAGCGGTGACGGGGAGGGGGTCTAGGGGAATCCCTTTGCTTGTCTAGCTCAGAGTCTTGCACTCATGCTCTCACTTGGCGGAGGTGAAGTCACGTAGAAATCCCCCATTCCTGACCTATCTCTCCAGCTGGCTCATGCCATTCGCCTGCTCCTGGAATACACAGACTCAAGCTATGAGGAGAAGAGATACACCATGGGGGACGGTAATGAACTCTTCTGGTCAAACTTCTTCCTTGTTCCTGTCGATTAGTGCCTAGCAACCCGTTTCTAACCTCCACTACATTATCGGTGGACTTAGAATCTGCCTTTTCCAGAAACCTCCAGAGGGTGGGCTTGATCTTTCAATACGGAAGCCTGGAGGAGGAGGGGTGGGTCCCCCTACGCCTGCAGAAGTTAGATCACATTCCCCACATGCCTAAACCTCTGTAAGGCTTAGAGATCTAGGGCCACGGTCCCAAACATTCTTCATCCCTGGAATCATAGATTGTGAGACTGGGGGTGTGAGGCTGCAGATCCCTGGAAATAGGAGTGTTGGACACTAGGCTGATTTCTTTTTGTGTAATCTTGTCAACCACAGCTCCCGACTATGATAGAAGCCAATGGCTGAGTGAGAAATTCAAACTGGGCCTGGACTTTCCCAATGTAGGTGCAGGGAAGGGGAGGTGAGGGAGGGCATGGCGTTCCCACCTCATCTCCTCGCCTGGCTGAGGGGGGTTGGGATCAGTGCTTTTGCTCATCTGCTCCCATCCCTGGTGGCTGCACAGTGTTTCTGTGACGGGCTGTGTCCAGCTCTTCCATTCATTGTGCAGTGCGTTCATGGAGGGCTTCCCATGCTAGCCACACTGAGTGCCAGGCCCCATGGCCACATGTCTGTCTTAACTCAGGGAATTGAGTTTGGGACCTCATATCCCATCCGACTGTCCTTGCTTGCCCAAACAGCTGCCCTACTTAATTGATGGATCGAACAAGATCACCCAGAGCAACGCCATCCTGCGCTACATCGCCCGCAAGCACGGCCTGTGTGAGTGGGGCTGGCTGCAGGGTGGGGCATGGGGGACATCCTCCTTGGCTTCGCTGGGGTGGGATGCTGAGGGTGAGTGTGCTGTGTGCGTTGCAGGTGGAGAGACAGAGGAGGAGAGGATTCGTGTGGACATTTTGGAGAACCAGGCTATGGATGTCTCCAATCAGCTGGCCAGAGTCTGTTACAGCCCAGACTTTGTGAGTCTTACCCACCTTCCACACTGGGCTGGACCAGGCAGCATTTGGGTCAGGAGTCAGCTCTCGAAGATTCCCATCGGCACAGGTCTTATTTGCCTTTTGAATTTCTTAGCCACTTATCCTCCAGGATGTTTCCTGTGTTTTCACCAGCAGTCCCCATAATACTGAACTGTCAAATGAACACTCTTCCTTAGGCCCTACCTATGTTTGGGTGCAGTCCAGACTTCCCGGGGTGGACTTTAAGCTCCTAGAGAGTGAAGTCATGTCCGCCAGGTCGGTCACATCATTGCTGGTCATGAAATACATGTATACTCAAAGGGTTAGAAAAAGAAGTCCAAGATGAAGGACTGCCCCAGAGCCCTTTCCAACATCTCAAAGTGCTTTGTTCCACACCCACATGAGTCAGCATGATTTCTGTAGGTACTCAAGAGCAGCCTGAAGTACTTTCTCTCTCTTCTTTCCTTCAGTCTCGAATACTCCTCAGTTTATGGGGGAACTCAAGTATGTGTCATTCTTCTGGAACCTCTGGTGTGGACCTCTCACCTCCTCTGACTGCTTTTAGTTCTCACTTCTTTGATGTTGCCTGCCAAGTGCTCCAGGCACTCACAGATTTAGGTGTCAGGAATGATGATGCCTCATTGTGGATGGTGTTTTAGTCTTCTTCCACTTTCCATTGCATTTGAAGGGTGGGGTGAGCTACCATGGAGTCTAGTAAGGAAATGCTGATATGTTAAATCAAAGCCTGGACAGTGATTTGGTCACCATCTCAATGGAGATGGCTGCCCACCCCTGGCCATTTAGGACCATACATAGTACTGATGAACCCGGACACTGCCATGGTGACAGCTGTTTTCTGCTTCAGGAGAAACTGAAAGCAGAGTACTTGGAGCAGCTCCCTGGAATGATGAAGCTCTTCTCACAGTTCTTGGGGAAGCAGACATGGTTTGTTGGTGAAAAGGTAAAAGAGAAGAAGTTGGGGGTAATAATTCTTCCTAGGGGACAGAATTTCATGCCCCCTAATTCTTGGCCCTTTGCAGATTACTTTTGTGGATTTCCTTGCTTATGATATCCTGGACCTGCACCTTATATTCGAACCCAAGTGTCTGGATGCATTCCCAAACCTGAAAGACTTTGTGGCCCGCTTTGAGGTGATGCCCTGATCCCCCTCCATCTGGGCTGTCAGCTTTTCCCTGAGGTTTTCTTGGGCTTGGAGATGAAGTTCAGAATAAGTGGCTTTCTGCCAGAGTCTGTGCTCAACACCTTATGTCTATTACATACATTACATTACAGCGTTCCTCAAGGGTGGGCGGAATTCAGCCCCACTGCTCAGATAAGGAAATGTGAAACTGGAGAGGGTCACTTACCTACTCCAGGTCTGAGCACCAGCAGAGCTGTGTTGGGTCCGTTTACTTCTTGATCCTCAAGGCAGCAGTTAGTGGCTTCAGCCTGGGTTAGGAGGGCAGGTCCAAGGAGGATTCTGTGAAGTACCAGGATGTAGAGAGTAATTGTGCTGTGGATGCAGCCTGGGTTAGGAGGGCAGGTCCAAGGAGGATGCTGTGATGTAGCTGGAGTTTCTTTCACATCCCCCATGACTATGATGTACCAGGTTGTAACCAACACTTATACTTGATCTGCTGAATGCTTTGCTGAGACCTGTGTGGGGCCCCTGTTGGAGAATTCTACCCTGAAATGTGTGTCATAGGCTTTTCTCCCTCCTTTCATTTTTTCTTTTGAGTGTCCAATATACTTGTTGAATGTGAGATGTCACAATATACTTATTTTCACTTGTATTTCCTGATTTCTGTACGAGGCACATGTCATACCAGGGAAGAAAGGAAAAGGTGGTCCTTAGACCCATCTTGGGACCGACTGTATTGGATAGCATCTGGGATACCAGGCTGGGAGGTGTGTGTGGCACTACCCGGGTGCCAGGGAGCCCTCATTCACCAGAGACTACTTGTTTGATACCCACACCACCTAATTTATTAGAAATTTGGGGGTTGGAGACCTCAGTCCAATGGTGTTTCAGTCTGGAACTCATTTTTCTCTCCCGTTCCTTGTCTCAGCTAGTCCTCAGCATTTGGTTCAAACTGAGTGGCTTTGAGAAGGAAGAGGCTGGGGAGAGCTGAAGGCTGTAGCTTTAGGCTAAATGTGAACTTGGTCCCTTGGATACAAGCAGCTCTGGACTCTGTTGAACTCTTTAGAGATTTTCTGGGGGCTCGTTCTCCTGGTACAAGGCCAATAGCACATGTAACTGTCATTGAGGCTGCTCCCTGTGCCAAGACTGGAGACAGGATTGGTTGAAGCTCTGTACCAGGTGCAGGAGTTTGGTTTTCTCCTTAGGGAATGATTTGGGCGAGCCTGGCTTTTCTTTTCTGGTCTACCTGTATCTGTAAAGTTTGTCCTGGGCTTTGCCGAGACATTGGACGAGATAGGGGTCATCTGCCAATGTGTCCCTTTGTCCTGTGAAACCAGGCAATATGGAGTTCATGTATGCAAGAGGAGCATGTCTGTATAGATGGACTGGCAGGGTCTCTTAGCGAGACCAGGAAAGGAGTGCCAAGAGAGTATAGCCCTGGAGAGACGGAGGCCAGAGATGTGTGCCACTTACTAGCAGTGTGAGCAAGAGAAAGTTGACTGCCCTCTCCGGCCCAGAGCAAACCTACATTTTCTTTTTCTTTTCTGACTCTTAGGGACTGAAGAAGATCTCTGCCTACATGAAGAGTAGCCGCTTCCTCCGAACACCTCTGTATACAAGGGTGGCCACGTGGGGCAATAAGTAGGGCAGGAGGGAGAATGGGGAACCTGGGGCTCTGGGACAGTTGAACTTCCGGTAGCCCTGGCACTTCCTTCTTTCCATCTCCTTCCTGACCCCAGAATGTCACAGGTCCTCTTTCCTTTCACCCAGTCCCTGCCCTTTCAAGCCCAGGCTCCTAGGTTTCCTTCAGCCAAGTGTCCTTTTAGCGTGGTGACTGTCCCACTTGACAGTCTTGCCTGTCAGTTGCTGTGACATCGAGAAAAGTGGGGACTCTCAGAGCCTGGGCTCCCCGTGCCTGCCAGGAGTCTAGGGATGCCTGATGCATGAGGTCACTGCCCGGCCATGTCAGGTACCTACTGTGAGGTCTGAACCACACTGGCCCTGGCTGCTGCACTGCCGGTTTTCAGGTTTTCACTGCTACCTCCAAAGACTCCCTTGAGAGCTGGCAGAGTTCACAGGGATTCTGGTTGGATAAGTAGGGGTTTGAGACTTCCTGACCCTGTCTGATAGCCTCATAGCAGGCAGTTGCAGGAGGCTCTGCAGAGCTCAGAGAGCCTTTTGGAACTTGGGATCTCCTGTACTCTAGCATTACTAAGGCTTATCACGCAGGTCTCGGATGAGGACCCAGGCTGGGGGAGAGTCCCCAGCGGGAAGCCAGAATCCTCTCTGCCTCCCTTTAGTATGGCTGCATTACATCTATGTGTCTCCAGGATCCTGCCTCTTCCATCTCTGATGCCTTTGGAGTATCCTGTTCTGGTCACCAGAGATGGGGACCAACTTGGTTAATTCCTTCTCTCTGTGAGGCCCTGTTAAATAAATTTCTTCATGCTTTCATAGTTACAGGTGTCTTTTCCTATCACTTATACCAGCAGTACTTTGGATAGGTATAGAATTGTAGGGTGAGCTTTGGGTTTAGAAGCTCCTCTGCTTCAGAAATGGAGTGTTTCTTGTAAGAAGAGTCTTGTCGCTCTGGCTAGGATTCTTTTGCACATGCTCTATTTTGATACTTCAGATGGCCACCTTTGTCTTGAGATCTCCAAGTCAAGGCCTTTGTAGGGAACTGTACCCAGCCTGGTGCTTCTTCACGCCCTTTCCCAGCATAGGCCTCTCCCACTCAGATTTAAAATAAAGTTGCTCTGGGCTGTCAGGCTGCCCCCAAGAGGCGTTGAAGAAAAGCCACACCAGTTGTGAGCAACCCTCTTTTTGAGTTGTGGGTCAGGGTTGTCCGAGAGACTAGTTACAGGCTATAACACCAGTGTTTGTTGCCCCTCTAAGAAGTGGGAGTTAAACCCTGGCTGCTGAAGACACCATGCGCTTCAGACACAGGGAACCCTCTTCTCTGAGGACTAACTTTCATGGTGCCATAAGGAGCCATGCAAGCTTTCAAAGGAGGGAGGCAACCAGTAGTCCTCAGCTATGATGCCTGTGGACCACTGCAATGACCAGCATGTTGCAATAACCCTTGGGGTGCAGTAATGGCATGTGTGCCTTCATGGTAACCAACAACTCTATGATTGGGCTTAAGGCCTGTTCAACAAAAGGAAAAACATGCCTGAAACAGGAAATCTGTTGCCCAGGGCTAGTGAAGTTGTGGAGAACCTACCACTGCCGCCTTACTAAACCAGCACGATCCCTAGTTATACTCTAAATGTTTGTCCTTATAACTACAGAGAAGTGTAGTTTTCACTCCTCATCAAGAAACTTCTCTTTGCAATAGATGGAGAGCACTGCAGAAAACCATAACCAATCAAAACACAGAGAGCCCAATCCCACTGATGCCATCTACAGGTCAACTCCTACACGGATGGCTCAGAGATCACTGCAGAAGAGGGGGTGGGAAGGTTAAGAGCCAGAGGACCAGGGAGTCTGCTGTGAGGCTGTGTCTCCTAGGAACATCAGAAGCTACACCTGTGACATCCCACCAGCGTGGTTGCCTAGATATAAACTGAACAGGGACAACACCAACAGACATGCTAGAGTGGGCAGTGAGAAAGCTCATGAGGACTAAACCCTAGAAAAGAACTTCGGGCAGCTGAGGAACGCTGAGCTGGGAGAAACAGTCTTTCCCAGGGAAGAGCGTTCTAACTGGTCATCCAATACCAAATGGTCAGCCTATTTGGGGTTTGACAGCCTCTTATGCAAGAAACATAGACTGAGCATTTAGAATATATATTCATGTACTTAGAATATATACATACACACAAACACACACATGTGCAGCATTAATGAAAAAAGAAGCCATGGAATTTGAAAGAGGGAGGGGCATATGAAAGGGCTTGGAGGGAGGAAAGGGAAAGGAGAAATGATGTAATTATATTATCTGAAAAGATAAAAGAAATAATTAAAAATGGAAACAAAACTCCTTTCAACACTTTTTCATAAATCTTCCCTGTCTTTTGGAAGAAACAGCATTTGAACCCAAGGGCTGGCATATCTGGAGGGCACATGTCTGGCAGGAGTGGACCTATAAAATACGGTCTCAAAGATGGGTGGGATCAAAGAGGTGCCCTAAGAAGTGGAACCAAGCCTTGGGGCCTATGTGTAAGGTTTGGTGGATGCCTGGATTGATGGAGAGTGCTGATCCTGGGGAGGATGAGGCAGTTATTTAAGTAGAACCATCTGTTTTTGTCTGTGTGGCCCCTTTTTCCAGGAGTTACTCCCTCTCCTCTGGATGGTAACAGGGATGATAAGAGGCTGTCAAGCCCCAAATATGTCCTGTAGATCCTGTGGAGCTAGAGGCCAGTCCCCAGGCTACTGAGTCAGTCCTGGTATTGCCTATGGTCACTGGGTCCTTGAAGGATTAATGTTCCCAGTAATGGATTATGCTACCTCTGAAGGGAGCTGGAGGACCGCCAAGAGCTTGGCTATAAGGGGTCCATTGACAATGGGAGTGTCCTTGGCAAAGAGGAAGTTCCTTTCCTTCCAAAGGGCAGAATGAGTATGGGCTATTAAAAAGGCACATTTCGAGTTCATGTAGATGTGAGCCTATTGACTCCTAGTTATTTGGAGAGCTCTAACTCTAGTCAAGCTGATTAATTCAGCCTTTTGAGAAGAGATCTCCACTGGTAAGTGGGTTGCTTCAGCTGTTTTAGTGGAAGTGGCTACCACATAAGCTTCCGGGTGGTTTCCTGATATGTCTATAAGAGAGCTTCCATCAGCAAAGAGGGTGAGTTGGGGGTCTGTGAGGAGTTGGTCTAGGAGATCAGGGCAGGGTGAGCATAAGGCCTGTGCAGCCTCTGGGCAGGAGTGAGAGGGGATCTCAGAGGAGGAAGGGACAGGGAGGAGGGTTGCAGAGACCTGTGAGGCATTTAGGAAGAAGATGGGAGTCAGAAGAGAGTGTGGGGGCCAAGGAGAGGGTGTCCCCTAAGCTGAGATATCATGGCCAACTAAAGGTAATGGACAAATGGGTATGACTAGAAAGGAGTATGAGAAGACTCATCCTACAAGAATGCAGGAGAAAGACAGGGTCATAGGCAGAAAGGAGGGAGTCTCATTCACCCCATGACAGAAACTGGTAAGGGACCTGTGGACCCCAAGCGAGAGGTCAAGACAGAAAAGGTATCCCCTGTGTCCACCAGAAGGTGATGAACTTACCTGCTACCTGGAATGTGACCATGCGCTCAGTGAGGGTTATGGGAATCTCCAAGACTGGGTGCTGTCAGTCCTCCACCAAGCTGAGGAGCTCAAAGGCTGGAAGAGTCTCAGATGCCTGTGGTAGTGGTGCTAGACCTCTGTAGCATGGCATAGAGGACCAGACCACATGGGGGCATTCTGATTTCCAGTGACCAGGCTGCCGACAGACAGGGCATGGCCCTGTTGGCCGCTGAGGGTTGGGGCAGCATCAGGGCCAGTGGCCTTCCTCACTGCATTTGAAGCAGACTCCTGGTGGAGTTGACTTAACTGGACCCCATGGGATGGAGCCTTGTGGACTTTCTCTGTTCCCTCTCCTGGGGTGCCCATGGCCTCAGGCCAGCTGCTGAGGTGTGAGCTTGGAGCATAGTCTTCTGTTACAACGAGTCTGCTGGGAAGCCTCAGCTGCATCTCAGGTATTAAAAACCTTAAAAGCCATTTCCACTAATTCCTTTATGGGGATTTGGGGACCATCCTCAGCCCTTTTCAGTTTCTTTCTAATGTCTGATGATGACTGAGAAATGAAAACGGGTAGCTAGGACCTTGGCTCCTGCTAGGGAGGCTGAATCAAGGCGGGTATAGCAGTGAGGTAGGATCCTAGTATGGTAGGGTGGGAGAGCAGACAGAAATAACAGGGAGACCGGATCTGTTGCGGGTGGAGCAGGCAGGTAGGATGCCGGCATGGCCAGACCAAACGCCAGGAGAACCTAGTGCGTCTTTGGCAACAATGACAAGATAAAAAAGGTGAAGTGGTACCTTCTGGCGGGGCCTGCCAAGGTTGCCACCAAGAGAACACGTCATGACAACAGAGTTAGTGCAAGGGTGAATTAGGGAATGGGGAGAGTGAGGGAGTGGAGGCATGAGAGAGGCAGACAGACAGACAAACCGAGGGAATGGGGAAGAGACAAGAGGAAGAAGAGAGGTGGGGGAGGGGTGCCAGTGACTCGGGCAGCCCCGTCGGAGTGCAGGGTTCAGGGTTAGTCCCCTGGTGAAAAGATCTCTGAATCCACCCACAAACCCAGTCAACAAAACCTGGGCTGCTGAGCACTGGCTACAAAGGGAGCAACGGAAGTGCAGAACTCAAAAACCCTAGATAAGGGACTCAAACCATTTGTTTTGGGCATGTGATGTGAGACAGCCCCAATTTGGCTACATTTTGCAGCAGGCACCCCAGGGGGTGTTTAGACCCGGTGTTGCCCATTTCCAAGCCTGTGCCAGAGACTGAAGACTAAGGCGAGGTGTCCCCTCGCGATAACCTGGGGTTGAGTGGTGGGGATGGGGGTAGACTTTGGGAAGGACGACTCCTAACACAGAGGTCCCCTGGAACAGAGACTGTCTCTGCTCCAGAAATGGATTAGGCCTGCTGCTGCCGCCACTTGGCAGTGTGGGGTCCTTGACCCAAAAGAAGTCCTGACCCGGAAAAGGTACCCAGTACCTCTTTAGGTGCTGGCTGGGAAATGAGTGACTTATCCCAAGTCCAAAGTGGCTCACCTCTGGCAGAGAGAAAGGGAAAGGGAGAGGAGTCATCCCCCACATGGCCGGAGGACCCAGTCCACCTGGTGGGAAGGCTCAACTCCTCCTGGGGTTTCGGCGTCAAGATAATAGGTTTTCTGTAGCTCCATATAGGTTTCTCTGCCAATGCAGTAAGCCAGATCAGACCAAAACATAAAAGTAAAAGAACAACTCCCCGGGTGAATACTCCAGTTCCAGGGGTCAAGGTGGAAGAAGTAACACACCCAAACTACAGAAGGGAGCTTACATACCCTGTCTTCCACAAGCTGGATTTGTGCCCAAGCCTGGTCAAAGCTGAGCACCTTAGGTGGGAACTTGAGCTCCAGCAACTTCAGGGCAGGAGCTGCCACAGCCGCCAAGAATGCCCAACTAGGCTTGTAGGCTTTTCTTTCTTGAAGATTCTCTGAGAGGGTGGGGAAGAGGGGAGGCTTTCTGAATCATGCAGGGTGAGTTGGAGGTTCCAACCAAACAGGCTTACAGCATTGCCCTCCATCGGTCTCTTCAGCTTGACTGAGTTATGCCACTGACTCCCATGCTTCCTTGAATTGTAGAGATTCTGAAACTTCCATAATTTTTTTCATCCAGTTCCAATCATAAGTTACTCATATGTAATGCATTGATATCTGTTTGTTTTGTTTCTGTGGAGAACCTTGATTATATTTAGCAAACACAAAAATTAATTACAACTATGATAAAATAAGTCCATAAAGAAATAAAACACAAGACACAGCGTTTCCATTTCTTGTTGTTGTTGTGTTTTTTTCTATTTGGAACAGATTTGGAGGTTTAGAGGTGAGTTATCTTTTTCTGTCCAGGTAAGTCTCTCAGTTCATTAACAGTACTTCTTGGGGGAGCCCACAGGGAAACCATCTGTCTGCCTGCACATCGTGCCCAGCTCATTGGTAAGAGAGTGTCTGAGAGACTGACAAATGGGGGTGGGCATTAGAAAGGGGCGGCTGTGATGGGGACCCCATCATTGCTGGGCTGATGGTAGCCATCATGTACTAACATATTTAATTTGTGGCCTCCCTGTGTGGCATGGGTTTATTTTTTTCTTTTTCTTTTCAGGGTTTATTTATTTGTATTTTATGTATATGAGTGTTTCTGTTTGCATGTCTTACGTGTAAACATGAGTGCAGAAGTCTGCAGAGGCCAGGAGCGGGCATCAGATCCTCTGACACTGCCGTTATAGGCAGGAGTAAACCGCCTGGTATGAGTGCTGGGATGGTCATTCCAGTCACATTTTTTTTTTTTTTTGGTTTTACGAGACAGGGTTTCTCTGCATTGTTTTGGAGGCTATCGGTCCAGCCCGGCCTCGAACTCACAGAGATCCGCCTACCTCTGCCTTCTGAGGGCTGGGATTAAAGGCGTGTGCCACCACCGCCCCGCCCCAGTCACATATTCTTAAACAGTGAGCCATCTCTCCAACTATTGGCCCATCTTTTAAAACAGATTTATAATTTTTAACACACACACAAACATAAAATAATATGCATGCATAGGATACCATGTGGTGTTTTGTTAATTTAAATATTGAGTAATGTTTAAACCAGGCTAAGCATATCTATCCCTTAAGCGTGCATCACTTCTTTGCAGTGGAAACACTGAAAGTCCTTTCTTCCAGCTATTTGGATAGAGACGCTGAATCGCCATTGTCTATAGTCACCCACTGTGCAATAGCACATTAGAATGTCTTCTTTCTAACTGCAACTTAGGGCCCACTGAGTAACCTCTCTCTATCGTTTCTTCTGTCCTCAGCTTTGGGTGACTCCCATTCCTCTGAACCGTCTCCTCCTGTCTCCTCTGCCCACTCATGTTCCCCCTTTTCCTAATCCTCTTCCTCTTTTGATGCACGTGGCCATGCATCTCCCTCCGTCTGCCTTCTGCACGCTGGGATCACAGGCATGCAGTATACTGTCCAGCCGTATTCTCACCTTTATGAGATGAGCAGTTTTAGCTCTGCCTGAGATCAGGTGGGGCTCATCTCTCTGTGCCTGGCATATGCCACTTAGCTTAATGATCTCTAATTGCATCCATGTGTAACATATTGCAAGATTTCATTTAGAAAAGTTTTTATTATAATTACTAATGCATATTATATGAATTAATGGTTTCACTGTGGCATTTCCACATATGCATATATTGTACTTTGATAATTTATACTTTCCTTATAACTTACTGTCCTTTCTGTAGCCTTCCTTTGTAGCATGAATTCTAATTTGTTTAAATAGTTAAAGCCCAGAGTTAGATATCAGGGTAAAAACTGAAAGATCTGAGAAGTAAAGGAACCAGTCAGCAGAGAGACTTCTTACCTCTATCAAATCCTCAAACAGAATCCTCAGACTGAATGGGCCTAAGACCTGTCTCCACCTATCTTACATTCCTGTCTCCACCTCCCTAGTGCTGGGGTCAAAGGCATGTGCCTCCCAAGTGCTGGGATGAGAGGTGTGAGCCACCATCACCTGATCTCTTCAGGCAAGCTTTGTTAGAGCAAAAACACAATATTACATTTCCTTCCTCCCTAAGTTCCCTTCCCAATCCATTTTCCTCGTCTACTTTGTAGTAATCCTTTTTGTTTACTGTGTAAAGTTTACTGTACAGTTGTTGGAAGGTAGCAGAAAGGATAGTAACAAATTCCAAACTCAATCGAAAAGCTCTGGCCACTATGGTCTGTCCACCAGCAGATGGACACAGAGAAAGGATGATGGCCTCTGAGGTGCTGATGGCTGCTGCCTCCCATGCCTGGGCCAATGACTAAGATGAGTAAAAGCTGTTTCATGATGCTCTGAGTGGCAGTGTCTCAGTTCCATCTTGTGTGGTGGTCTTGCTGTCCATCCTCTGATGTCCTCAAACACCTGGGAGGCAAGGAGGAGTGGTCAGGTAGCCTTCAACAACACAGGCTTCTGGAAGCTTCTCTTCTGCAGCAGCCTCAGAAGGGAGGAAAGGCTGGTCCACAGGAGGACGTGACTGGGGTGGATGGGATACTTGCAAAACTAGGTCAGAGTAAAACCCTTCAAGGCAGAGCCTTCCATAAGCCTCTGAGGCTACTGCTTGGTCTGGCTGGGGGCAGTTGTGAGCCTGGTGTCGCAGCCAGGGGACCAAGAGGCCGTGAGAAGGAAGATGTGTTCAAAAGCACCCGGGTTTGGTCAGGACAGAAGTGGACTTTCCAAACACAGGGACAGCTTTCGGCACCCTCTCCCTGAAGTCTCAATGATCAGGGCATGGGCAGCCCATGATCACTTTCAAATACGGGGTACCTGTTTCCTTATGGGGGAGAAAACATGCACTATTCCTCTATCTGAGTCTGCCTTATTTCACTTAATACTTCTCCCCAATTCCACTTACTTTTCTGCAATGACAGTTTTGTCCTTTACGGATGACACTCCACAGTATTTTATTTAGCCTTTCATCCATTGCAGTGAACCTAGACTGAGCCCATAGTTTGGCTGCTATAACTAGTTTCAGTCAACACGGGTGTGCCATGATGAAGCAGGATTACATGACAGTCCTCATTTTTGGTTTTCTGAGGACCTTCCATACAGTTTTCATAGAGCTGTGCTAATTTGCACAGCTACCAACAGTATGGGACTATAGTTCCTCCACATCCTTGGCAACCATTTGTTGTTTAATTTTCAACTGCACTCTGACAGAGTTGAAGTAGAACCTCAATGTAGCTTTCATTTGCTTTTTCTTGATGACTAAAATTGTCAAACATTTGAAAAACACATTTATGGCTTACTTGCAGCATTTCTTTCATAGCATTTGCTCATTCATTATTTATTTATTTTATTGTTATGGGTCTTATTTTTATCCTTCTTTTAACAGGATTCCACTATATAGCCCGGACTGGAGTCAAGTGTGGGATCCTCATGCCTTTCCCCCCACGTATTGGGATTACAGACATGTGTTGTCGTGCTTGGCTGGGGTTTTATATCTTTTCATATTCTGGGGTTGGCAAGTGTCTTCTCCCTCTACCAAGAGTTTTCCTAGCTGTGTAGCAACTTTCTTTTTGAAGGACTCTCGCTTGCCAAGTCTTGCTTTTATTTTCAGAGCTATTGAACTCATACATTAAAGCCTTTAGTTTATTTGGAATTTATTTTCATACAGGATGAAAGACAAGGATCTCATTTCTATCTTTTGCATGTGACTATCCAGTTTCCCTAGAATTCTTGGTTGGAGATTTTTCTCTTTTTTATGGCCACACAGTATTCCATGGTACACATGTACCACATTTTCTGTATCTATCTGTCAGTTGAGGTTATTAGATGGCATCCATGTCTTGACTATGGTAATGTGCATACTCCTTTCATAAGAATTTCATTTCCTGTGGCTGTATACCCAGTATTGGCTGGTGCACATGGTAATGAAGGGAACCAGCAAAAGCACCTTGTCCTAAATACAGCCATTTTACTTCAGACTTCATTTTACCTGTAGGATGAAACAAAGTCCAAGTTCCCATGGGATTCCTAGGGGGACTAACCAGAAGCTAAACAACTTCCTCTCTAAGCAACAATCCCCAAAACATAATGCCTGTCTCTAACAGCAAAACGTAATGACAAAAAGTACAAATGAGTCTAACTGGTTGAATGTTGTGGGATATTTGTACACTGTGTGAAGATGTGTCACTGTGATTGGTTTAATAAAGAGCTGGATGGCCAATAGCTAGGCAGGAAGAAGTTAGGCGCAACTTCCAGGGACAGAGAGGACTCTGGGAAAAAGAAAGACAGAGTCATCAGCCAGCCAGAGAGGAAACAGGAGGTGCAAGGTGAAAGAGAGGTAACCCCATGTGGCAGAAGATAGATTAATGTAAATGGGTTAATTTACCTTATAAGAGCTAGTGGGACAAACCTAAGCTAAGGCTGAGTTTTTGTACTTAGTAAGGAGTCTCTGTGCTATTATTTGGGGACTGGCAGTAGAAAAGAAAGTCGGACTACAGTTGGACATTCTGTGTCAACTGACAAAGGCGGAACACATAGGGAAATCCCCTAGTCCCTGAATCGGACTGGTGAAGAGTGTAACTGTGACTTGACACAGGTTTATGATTTTGTGCTTAAAACCCTGCTTCCGCCCCTGTTTGGGGCTGCCAGGAGAAACAATGCTCCAAGTCTTTTCCTTGTCCTGCAGCTCTGATCGACCAGCAACTCTACTTATGTGGTGATTTATTAAAATCTTTGGAACTCACAAGTGTTGTCTCTCTCCTTCCTCATGGCACACAATGAACGGGGTGTTACATTAGCTCTATTTTGTTTTCGGTTTTGTGAAATAGGGTTTCTCTGTGGAACAGTTCTTGTTTTCCTGGAACTCACTTTGTAGACCAGGGTGGCCTTTAACTCACTGAAATCCACCTGCCTCTGCCTCCCGAGTGCTGGGATTAAAGGTGTGCACCACCATCACCAGGCATAGTAGCTCTTCTTCTGATATTTAGAGAAACACTGGATTGTGATAATTTACACTCTTGTCTGCAGTATCCAAGAGTTCTCTTCTGTTCATGTTCTCACCTGCCCAGATACCTTTGTTCTGTTTGATAATACAAATTCTTACTGGGAAAGGTGTGTCTTGTTTGGTTTTGCTTTACATCTTCCTGGTACTCAGGGATCCTGAATATTTCTCACGCATCTACACGTTGTGTGTGTGTGTGTGTGTGTGTGTGTGTGTGTGTGTGTGTGTGTGGCTCTGAGTTGCCCAGCTTAGCAGAGCCCTGCGTGCCATCTGGTATCTATGAAACGTTATACAGGACAGCGAGCACTAATCTCTCTGCTTGAGGCAACTGTTTCATTCTGGTTCAGCTATCCAGAGCTACCCAGGGCCAAGGCAGGGAGTTAATGGTGAAATATGAGCAATGCCAGGAAGATAATGAACAGTGTTGCACTTTGACTGTCAAGACTGTCTCCAACTGTACTGCCATCTCCCTGTGGACACAGCTGACTAGGGAGGCTCCGGCAGTCCAGTCTAGGCAGCTAGCCAGTCCAGCCCTGCCATTGGCTTCTGAGTGTCTTCGATTGTTCAGGGACAATCCACAATGTGGCTGGGTTGAATTTTACTTCTCCCTGCTGGTGGGTCCCTGGATCTTACTCCTGTCCGTCCTCTTCTTGGAATGTGTGGAGTTGGAGAAGGGTAGGGCAGTGCTCCAACTGGAAACTGCAGCCAGTCCTGTGTCCCTCTGCCAAGAGATCAATCAGAAGGCTGGTAAAAGAAAAGGCCCTGGTCCACCTGCTGGAGACTCATACCAAATCCATGGAGCTGGGTTACTGGGACATATGGGGATGAGTGAGGGGCTGTAGGAGAGTGGGAAATACCTAGGAATGGATCCTAAAACATAGATTTAGTTCAGAAGTTGTTGGAAAGCCTTGCCTGCCAGTTTAAAGACTAGAGATGGTTCCTGTGTGACCTGTGTGTGATGTGTGTAGAGAGAGGTGGTTGTTAGAGTAAGGTGGAGGCTGGGTTTCACCATCTCTGACGTGACTGGGTCATGTCTCACAGCTGGCTCACACTGTCCTCCTGCTTCTGGGATGCACAGACAAGCTATAAGGAGAAGAGATACACCACGAGAATAGTGATTATAGCCTATCTGTCAGACTTTTCCCAATTTCTACCCATCAATGCCCAACAAACCATGCCTGGCCCCTGTTGGGCTCTGCAGGCCTCCTCTAGGTGGAATTAGAAGGTGCCCTTCCAGAAAATCTCTTTGAGATTGGTCTTCTAGTGTAGGGCAATGGAAAAGAAGGGTTGGGTTCCCTTATAGTCGGACCACATTCCACATTAGAGGGTGCTTAAGCCTGTATAAGCCTTAGTGAAGTAGGACCACAGGCTATTATGGAATATTTGTTTAACTATGCAAAGATGTTTTGCATTTGTTTAATTATGTAAAGATGTGTTGCTGTTTTACCTTGTCTGCCTGAGGCACCTGATTGGTCTAATAAAAAGCTGAGCAGCCAATAACAAGGGAAGAGGTATAGGCAGGACTTCCGGACAGGGAGAGTAAGTAGAAGGAGAAATTTAGGCTCAAGAGAGAAAAGAAGAAAGAAAAAGACACACCAGGGAAATGCCAGGGGCCAGCCAGACAAGAGAAAGCAGGAACGTAGGACAGAATGAGAGAAAGGCAAAAGGCCCTGATACAAAACGCAGGCGAATTAAAAACAGGTTAAATTAAATTAAAGAGCTAGTGTAGCAAGTCAAAGCTAAGGCCAAGAGTTGCTGTGTCTTTATAGGGAGCTGGTTGGAAACCCTGACTCCAGCAGTCCTTGGAAGCACTCTCTCTTCATACCTGCAGCCTTGGAATGTGAAACAGCTTGAGGCTGCTGGATACTGCTTCAGGGATTCTTGTCCTTGGTTTTTTTTGGGAGGGCCCTGGAAAAGGGAGTGAACCCAGGGGATCTTTACATCTTTTTGTCTGCCACAATGCCTGACTATGACCAAAGCCAGTGACTGGATTGAAAATTCAAGCTGGGCCTGGATTTTCCCAACATAGGTATGGGGAAGGGGAGGTTTGGGGAAGGCATGGCGTCCTCAGCTGGGCGAGGGGTTTGGGATCAGAGCTTCAGCTCTCCTGATCCCATTCCTGGTGGCTGCACAGTGTTGATGGGCTGTGTCCCAGCTCCACATGTCTTCTGTCCTAACACTTCCATTCGGGGTGCACTGTGCTGTTGGAGGGTTTCCTATGTCAGCCACTCTGAGTGTGGTCACAGGTCTGTCTTAACACAGGGAAGGAATTCAGGAGCCTCATAGCCTATCTGAATGCACCATCTTGTAACTGATGGGTCACAAGATCACCCAGAGCAACGCCATCCTGCGCTACATCGCCCGCAAGCACGACCTATGTGAGTGGGGCTGGCTGCAGGGTGGGGCATGGGAGACATCCTCCTTGACTTGGCTGGGAAGGGATGCTGAGGGTGAGTGTGCTGTGTGCGCTGCAGGTGGGGAGACAGAGGAGGAGAGGATTCAGGTGGATATTCTGGAGAACCAGGCTATGGACACTCGCATGCAGTTGGCCATGGTTTGCTACAGCCCTGACTTTGTGAGTCCCACCACCGCTGAGCTGGACCTCACCCTGTACTCTTGTCCCTAGAATCCACTAAGGCCCAGTTTGCTACTGGAGTCTCTTGGTGCTACTCATTGCACAGTGTTTGAAACTGAGACAGGGTAACCCTGGCACCCAGTGTGCCAAATGGAAATTCCCAGTCATGCCTCCTAAGTCTTAAGATCCAGTCCAGACTTCACAGTGGAACTCCAGCCCTGATAGTATAGACAGAGTTCA